GAAGTTGGGAGAGCATCATAGCTGCACCTCTGCCCTGAAATAGCTGGCAAGGAGCGAATCCTTACAGCCATGGACTGTAACCCAGACAGCAGGACCTGAAAGCCTGAAATGCAACTCAAAAGAGTTCATCAGTTAGCTGATATTTCAAGGGATTCTTTATTCACTCTTTCCTGTCCAAATTAGACTTTAAGCCCTTAGGGGCACAGATGTATTTACAAAGTTAGTAGCTGGCATTCAACGAATAATGAAAATCAAGGAGAAGCTTTGGAAAGGCCTGAAGAAAGATGCCTACACTTGAGGGACTCTGGTAACACGTACAGTGGTCTTCCAGGGTTGAAGTGAGTTTGGCTGGCAGGAAAGCCTTGCTGCAGTGCCAATGGGGAAACTTTATGATCTACTGATTGCAGTTAAAATCTCAGACTAGACAGGATGTCCCCAGGACAAACTCTAGACCAGGCAAGTTGAAAGGACTTTTACTGTTCTCTGCTACCATTAAAGGCTAACTGACACAATCTGCTTAAGGCCAGGTTGGCTCAAATGAGCCTTTAGGGACTTGGTTTGTTTACTGATACATGGAGGCAAAAATAGGCAAGATCATACAAAAAGGGCAAGATCAGCCCCCTCGGGCAATCTTTTAGTAACAGGGGTACAGAGTTGCAAGCCCTACTTCCATTAGCACTGATCAGTGCAACATGAGCTCCCACACCACATAAAACAGCACAGGAGCTGTGAACTACTTGGCTCTCACTACTCCAATGTGGGCAGCGAGTTCCTTGTGTTTCTGTTACAAGGGAAAAGTCGGTGCTCGGGCGCAGATCTTGAAATCATGGCATCAAACCAGAAAAATCCCTTCATGTTCTGTCCTTCTGCAATTTCAAGATTCAGAAGCCAAAAGGTGTCTCTGAAGATCAAAGGTATCTCTGTAGATTAAGATCTTCAATCTGCTAATGGCTATAACCCTTTGAAGAGGAAAAAGCCATCCAAGAAATCTCACAGACAGCCTGGTTCTTTCTTTGGGTATGACTTCTGCATTTGTGTAGCACCAGGAACAGAAGAAGAGTGCTCTAGTGTCATGCAAACAAAACCTATATTGTTGTAGCCTCTGTTCTTCTGCTCTGACATTCCTAATCTTACTCCCAGTGTTTGTTATCAGTGCATAGCAACAGCTCCTGGATGAGAGAGGAGTGCACTGTGCTGCGAGATCATCTCTGTCATGCAGAACTGAGACTACAACTACTACTGCTCTCTTCCCAGAGAGAGTCCTGGCTGTTATCAGTCAATGCTGCGGCTACTCCTGCTGCTACTTTATTTAACTCCTTTTCCAAGCAACTGAACGACTTGGAGTCTGCAGACTGGAGGAGGAACAATGTCAGTGGGTTTGCATGTGACATTCATGCTTAGCAAGGACTCAGTCACCTGGTGCTGGAAGACAGGCTGCAGAGTTCAGCTTTCTAACTGGCAGAGAACAAGGACAATGGGAAGTGGAGAGCAGAAAAAGGACAAGAGAGTGAGCAACAGTTGGAAGGGAGGAGAAAGCTGGGTTAGAAATACCACAGGTTTTGTTATAATTGTTCAGCTAGATCAGCTTGTAACAGCATAATAGCAATGTGTGAGTAAATCTCCAGCCAGCCAAAAGCAGGAGTGAGGTCATCCCCACCTGAGCCTGGCTGCCTCTGACAGAGATCTCATTTCCCTCCAACACCTGCTCCCAAAGCCCGCTTGTCTGTCTCTGCAGCACACACACGACAGTGCAGCAGGCCCCTGAATGGGGCCTCTAGTTTACAACAGCCCTGTGGATTAAATTCCTTGACACAAACATCAGAACATGTGTAGATACGCTGAAGTCTCATGCACCATCACAAATTCTTGCTCGGCTCAGCTGGAAGCCTATGAAATACACACCAGTGCACGGGACTGGTGCTTGTGTACCTCCATGAAAGGAAGCAGCAGACATATCCCTGCTACAGGGTTAACATTCTTTCTTAGTCTGGCATTGGAGGCCAAGCAACTGTACTCTGTGGAGCCCCAAAGGCTCACTGATGAGCTAGAGAGAAGAGCAGCGCTCCACTTTTAGTTTTAACTGAACCAACACAGCTTTAACTGCAGTTCAATTTGGATAGCAGCACATAGGAGCCAGTGAAGAATTCAGAGAATCAGCCAAGTGAAGTACTAGCAGATGGATAACACTTCCCTTCTTCACTTTCCTTTCTTACCATAATTTTCATGGGACTCTGATGCTACAGAAAGATAAGAGTGACAAATAGAAACTGAGAACCTTTTCATTATTAAGGCCATGAACAGCATAGGCAGCAGTAACATCCTGATCATGTGTCTGGATCCTGTTTCCAAACGTCATACCTAGGTCCATGAAATAAGTCACATTTCCATGCCCCCTCTGCTGAGGTGGCTGGGAATGAGGGCATGTATTCAGTAACCTTACTGTGACTATATGTGTGTGTGTGTGCACATGCACTCCTACTGAGATCTGAACTGACCCCCCACCCCTACACATGCATATCCCTTATTACATTTTCACTATCAGATAGTTAATAATCAACTGCCTGGGCTGGACTGGAACCAGCAAGCACTATCAGTAAAACTTCTGTATCACCTTATCAGTGCCCTGAGCCATCTATTTGCTTTAGGCCTTGTCTAGATTAAACTAAAATTTCAAACAGATTAGCTACCATGTTCTTAACTAATGTACTTGAAAACACTGGCAATCCTTCAGAGGGTACTACCTTTTAAACGTGACCAACCAGAGAAAGCTGGGGTGAAGGGGAACATATTTTAAAGCTGGTAAACAGTATCTGAAATAGAGTTTAAAATCATGTCAGTTGAAAACACATTGGCTCACATATGCAACTCACCTTCTGAATGCACAGCCAGCAGCAGCATTCTGCACTGGTATCTCAGTCCCTGCATACCTCAAATACACACT